TGAAATTGTGCACAAACGGCAAGCACCATCTCGACTTAATGGACTCTGCCAGACCACCAACTTGCCAGGCTCAGAGCCGTCCCTGGCCTTCCTGGACGACTTCAGGCTGCGGCTTGAAACAGCGCAGAGGCAGTTGCTGCAGTGCCTGGATGAAGAGATTGGAAAGGCTTGGGCCGAAATCACGTCATTCCTGAGAGAACTGGGTGTCTACTTTGCCAGACAGCGTACCAGAAATTGGGATGGCGCCCGCTGATTTCACCCTTGACCAGCCCCGCCGCTCATGCAAGCTGGCTTCAAGCTGGCACACATGCTTGAAAGTTGCTTGGCGAATTTTTTGAACCCAAGGGGACGAGCGCGACACAATCTCTGCTTTGCTGTGCCTGTGTGCACGTGCGTCTCGCACGGGTGCGCGGCAGGCGCGGCAGACGAGGGAATCTGCGGATCGCTTAGACGAGCTGTGTTCAAGCATGACCAGTGCGCCCTGGCAACGGTTTTCATCCGATGGTGCTTAGATGCAGTTGGAGTCTTAATGTATTCCATGAGGTTTACACAAAGCGATGTCGTTGACCAATTTGGAAAGCGCGAGAATCGCTCGCCTGGTTGAAAGGGCGTCCTGGGCAAAGTGGCAAGGCGCCACATAGATCGGCATGACGAAAAGGGACTTCTTTGCCAGGCCAGGGTTCTTTGGCTTCGTACTAAGCTTCTGCGCGGGCGGTTGTGTCTGCGCGCCGCGTGGCGTGTGTGTGTGTGTGTGTCTATGTGTCTCTGCGTGTCTCTGTGTGTCTCTCTTTGTCTGTGTGTCTGTGTGTCTGTGTGTCTGTGTGTCTGTGTGTCTGTGTGTGTGCGTGTGTGTATGGGCCCTGCTTGGGCAGCTTGGTTGTCTTGGTTTGCCTGTCTTCATTTGACCTTGACGGCGGTGCTTTTGTGACTTGATTGCGAGTGGAACCGCCGTGTACTCGCGCTATGCGGGAGACCTCCAGGGTCAAAACTCAAGAAGTCCGTTCAGCTGACGCCAATCTTGAGCAGAACTGCGTTTGGCCAGGCGTCAGGAAGTTCGTCCCATGGACTTGATGAACGTGTGCTGGAGCCAGGCGTGGATCTGCGCGCGCGCATGGAGGCGCGCGAGGAGTGCGCGGGGGCGCGCGCGTGTTTGATTGCGCGTGCTTGGTGTGTTTCGCTGTTGGTTTTGGTGCGCAACTTTGGGTTGCGGGGCGCTGCGGGCTGCGCGCACAGGCTTGGGGGTGTTCGCAGGGGGCGGGCGGAGTGGCGGGCGTGAGATGCGAGCGGGCGCAGGCAGCTGTGTGTGTGTGTGTTTGTGTTTGTGTGCGTGCGCGCGTGCGCGCGCGTGTGTGCCGCCACCCGCGCGTGTGTTTGCAGTTTTTTTGTTTGCTTGCTTGCTTGGCACGCCTTGCCTTGCCTTGGTGGCTTGGCTGCTTGCTCTCTGCTAGCTTCTGGCTTGCTTTTGTTTTCTTGGTTGTGCATTCTGACACCTCTCCTGTGTCTACTTCACTTTCTCCATGCTGATTTGTGTTTATTGTGAGTGTGCCTGTCTTTGTGTTCCTCCGCGTGCAGTGTTTCTGTCTTTGTGTGCCCATGTCTGCATGTTTGCGGGTGTGTGGGTGTGTTTTAGTGCGCGGGTGTGTGTGTGTGTGCACACCCACACACACACACACACGCATGCCCACGCACGCACACACGCAAGCACGCGCGCGCGCAGGCACACAAACACGCCGCGATATACCATTACTGTCCAAAAACATTGCAAGACAGACGCAGCAACCAGCAACACAAGGGTGTGTGTGTGTGTGTGTTTGTGTGTGTGTGTCTCCGTGTGTGTTTGTGTGTGTGTCTCGGTGTGTCTCGGTGTGTCTCGGTGTGTGTGTGTGTCTCGGTGTGTCTCGGTGTGTGTGTGTGTGTGGGTGGGTGGGTGGGTGGGTGGGTGGGTGGGTGGGTGGGTGGGTGGGTGGTTGGGTTTGTGTGTGTGGTGTGTGTGTGTGTGCGCGTGTGGTGTGTGTGGTGTGTGTGGTGTGTGTGGTGTGTGTGTGTGTGTGTGGTGTGTGTGGTGTGTGCGTGTGCGTGTGTGTGTGTGGTGCGTGTGTGTGGTGTGTGTGTGTGTGGTGTGTGTGTGTGGTGTGTGTGTGTGTGTGCGCGGTGTGTGTGCGGTGCGTGTGTGTGTGTGTGGTGTGTGTGTGGTGTGTGTGTGTGGTGTGTGTGGTGTGGTGTGGTGTGTGTGCGTGCGGGCGGGCGGGCGGGCGGGCGGGTGCAGGTGCGGGTGTGGGAGTGGGTGGGTGTGCGCGTGTGTGCGTGTGTCTTGGTGTGTGTTTGTGTGCTTTTTTGTTAATGTAGACGTTCAAACACGCACACACCAAGACACACACACACACAACCACACACACACACGCCAAAACACACACACACAAACACACACCAAGCCAAGACACACGCACACACCAACCGAGACACACACACAAACCCACACACACACACACAAACACAAACACACAAACACACAAACACACAAACACACACACACACAAACACAAACACAAACAACCACACACACACAAACACACACACACACAAACAAACACACCAAGACGCGCACACACACACACACACAATGCCTCGTCAACTTGTTTGTGCCGTATGCACTTGTGTGTGTGTGTGTCTGTCTTGGTGTGTGCGTGTGTCTTGGTGTGTGTGTGTGTGTGATTGTTTTATTGCCTACTAAGATGTCTAGCGCTTCCTCGTCAACGTTTTTGCGGCGTGCTCTTGTGTGTGTGTGTGTGATGAGTGTTCGCACAAATGTGTAGGTTCCTGCGTGTTGCAAGTCTATGCGCGTGTGCGTCGTTCTGCGAGCAAGTTTCCATTGAGGCCGCCTGCGGTGCGTGAGTTGAGCTGGGGCACTTGCAGCCACTCGCAGCCGCCCGAGTGGCTGCAAGCGGCTGCTGCGAGTTAGGCCACTTGCGGCCGCCAGTGGCCACTCGAGTGGCCGTAAGTCGCGCAGCGCGAGTGGCTGTGCCGAGTTGGTCTGTTGTGCGATGCTGGGCGTTGCTGGTGATGCTGATGATGCTGAGGGCGCTGCTGCGCCCTGTTTTTAGCACAAAGAATTTGCGAGTTTTTGTGCTGAGAACTTGTGGTAATGCAGAGGAGCACGAGCAACATTCCGACAGCAAGCAGCGGCATTACAGTGCAAGCGGGCTGGAGGGTTGACCTGCCCGGAGGCTTCCGGGCAGGTCAACCATAGCGGCTTCCGGGCAGGTCAACCATTGCCAGATTGACCTAGGTCAACAGCAACGGGAGTTCCCAAGACGGCGTTGGAAGCAGCACTCTTTGCTGTGGCCGCGTATCGACTACGCAGAGAAGCCTTGTTGGTGGGTCCCGAGATGTTGAGTTTCCAGACCCACAAAATGGGCAGCACCATCAACATTCTGACATGTGGAGTTTCCAGGCGCGTACTCCGACGCTGATGATCGGAATTCCGGCTGTGTAAGTCGGTCTTTCGCCACCGCAAAGGGTCGCTTCTCCCGGGTCTGGTGGATGATGCTGAGGGTGCTGCTAGTCATGCTGATGATGCTCTGGGTGTCGCTGAACCCTGTTTTCAACACTGCAAAAAAAACTGTCTGAGTTGTTTGTGCCCCCCGCGAGAGGTTCTTTTGTTGCGTGAAGTGAATGCTGCAAGCGCTAAAACCTTTGTGCACCATCATGAAGAATCCTAGTACGCCGAAAGGTGCAATGCACTTGTCACATTAGCCATAACTAGTGGCTGCTTATCATCCTGTGTCGCTACTGCTTCCACAGTGTTGTTGGGAGTGTAGTACTTGCAGTCACTTGCAGCCACTTGAGCCACTTGCAGTCACTCGCCGCGTGGCTGCAAGTTTCTGCAAACGACTGCAAGTGGCTGCGCTCACAACCACCGCAGCCCACTCGAGTGGCTGTGAGTGGCTGCGAGTGGCTCACATCAAAATGATGTATTTTTGCACGCTCCCTGCAAGTTTCTGTGTTTCAGTGCAATGGGGTTGGTGCTTGTGTTTTTGTGGCTGTGCATGTTCCTGTGTCTGCTCGTGCACCTTTTTTTGCGTCATGTATTGCGTTACGAGTTTGCTGCTCAAGAGGGGCCGGTGGATGTGTTATGTCCAAGTGCGTTTCGCCTGAGGTGAAGTTCGACAGCCACGTCAATATTGTTGGCGAGCACAGAGTGAGCCATTGCACTTGGATGGCAATGGGCCAACGGGGCAGGATCAGCAGCCACAGCACATGCGTTCAAGCCAATCAACCCGTTAAAGACATGTTTGCGCCCATGTTCAGTAAGTGGGCATGTTTCACAGTAAAGTATTATCTAGATTCGAATCTAGGTTGTGTTTGCAAATGGCGTAGTCACTGCGACATCAGGGGGCCATGTCTTGAGAGCAACATATTGCATGATGAAGCCATATTCCAGGTTGCATTGGGGAGCAACCGTTTCACAAGACCGGAAAAGCTTAACAGGGTAATTTTGTATGTTGACAACCCCTTAGTTCTGCCAGTTTCGAAATGACAGATGCCAGGGAGCCAGATGTTCAAGGGCACGGTTACCAACGCCTGCCTTAATTGCAGTCACTTTTGACTGATCAGTCTTGAACTCCATCACTGACCCCTGCGGAGCATGCGCCTGTGGAATATCGTGGAACTTCATTTGAGCTGCTGTGCAACTCCAAGCTCGAAGCCCAAGGTGGGATGATACACCCGCAGGTGCGTGTGACTGGGGAACGCAAACAAACGTGGCTTTCTCTTCAGTGGACAACCGATCTGCGCTCCCCATCTGGGAGTAGCTGATCGCATCTGATCGCTGATCCGAGGTCGCTCATTGGGTGCACACGATATGAAGACGCAGCAGCAGCAGCAGCAGTCGTTGTATTTCAGTGAGGACGACAACATGGCAGCCCGGATGCAGATTGGAGATTCCGAAATGTGTGCCTAATATGTAATGTTTGGTACCCATATCAGAGACTCTTCACAAAGAATTTGCACAGTTGTCACTTCCCCAACAAGAATGTTGAAGGATAAACTTGGGGCCCAAGTCATATTGATGTGCCCATGAATTGTCCTGAGGAACACCCTCAAAGTTGGTTCATGGCCATGAATTCCCATGTAAGTCATGTCCAGACTTCATACCAAATCTGTGGGAAGGAACGGATAAGCCATTTATGCGATTTGGGCATTGGCATCCAAGCTCACTTAGGTTGACATTGTGCCACAGAGAAGGGAAAACCGGAGCAGGACTGCGGAGCGTCATCGGCCGCAAAGCCTTTCTTTTTTTTTTCTCGGGGGGGAGGGGGTCCGGGATTCCGCAGGGTGCACCGCCGACGGACTTGAATTGATGCAAAAAAAGGCTCGGAAGTTGTGAAATGCCAACGGCGAGAAGGGGTCGACGTGTCACAATGTCAACGTCGAAACAAAGATTTCCATCATGACTCTAGGGGCTGACTCCCCATTCTTTTGAACCATCGTTCTTTTCAAAATCCAGCAATTTTTCTAGAAAGATCCGGAGCCCTGGAAAGACTGGGGAAGGTAGCCTTAGAATGACGTAGACTTTGGCCAGGACAGCCCAGTCCAATCGGTCGTCGGGCAATGGGCAACACCTGCTGCCATCCTTGCAGCCAAAGCGCAAGAGGCGAAAGTCATGGCTCACCAAGCGATCAAACATACAGATCAAGGACGGGGACACCGATTTGCCCCAGCCAACGCAAGGCTTCTTGCTATTGATGTTGCATGCAATGATAGGGTACGTGTTTTCTTTTTGTTGATATTCCCTCATGAAGTGCGTGACTGTCAAACTCTTGGCGACACCTGGCTTCATGTTCGTCAGGAGAACCGAAAAACGGCCAAGTCGGTGGAGTCTCACAAGCCAAACGTGCTTTCCATGAAGGTCCCCCAGTCATCCGACAATGAGGGGGACGGGGATGCCGATGCCAAGCAAGAGAAGATGGCGCAGGGCCTCTTTGGGAAGATGCGGCGAGCGTCGATTGATTCTCCGATGCATCCTGGTGTTATTTCGCCGAACCTCGCTGTGCATCACAGCCATCGAGTGACTGGAATGCAAGTAAAATTGGGGATCGGGTCCGATCGGCGATCGGTGCTCCAGCTTGGAAAACCGGTGCCATGCCGCATGACAAGTCATGGGTGAAAAATGTCTCGACCCAAAGGTGTTTGTCTTTGCAAAAGTTGTTTTTCCCAAATGGTTAGGGACATAATACCAACAAATCCCGAAGGGATTTTGCCCACCAAAGAGTCCAAATGCAATTTTCACCAAGAAACGGCTAGCCTCTTTCACCTGACAAAGCTGGCCGGCCTGCAATGTCATCACGGCAATGCCACCACGACAGAGCTGAGTACTCGACAAAAACGAAAGAGAGGGGCAATGCATAGGGCAAGATTGCCATGAGGAATGGGGAACACCCTCAGAAGTGCTTTTTTGCGATGCGCAAAGCCACCGAATGAAAAAACGGCGACAAGACAGCAGCACGCAACATTGCATTGTTCAGTTTCTTGGTATGCCAGCATTTACTAGTGACTGCCAATTTGATCTGTCCAATGAGAGTGGATGCAGTGTCCTCCAAAGTGGAGTACTCAAGTGCCAACGCGTACCGAGTAGAGGACGTGTGGAGTGTGTGGTATGGGGCTGCCAAAATGGGTGAGAGAATTCGTGTAACGGGGGGGGTCTAGAACACCGCAAAAATTGAACTCTTGTCCACGCATCCGCAAATGCGAGCTTGTGCCTCTTAAGCGATGGGCTGCGCAGAAAACTGCCTGGTGTTCAAGCAGTGAGGGATCTCGAAGGATGTGGCCTAGACATTTAGGTAGTATGAGGACTTGATTCCAAGGATTTGTTGAAGTGTGCGGAAATGGAGTGTAGAAGATTGCCTGAGTTGCGATTCTGCAATCTGGGACTCCGCTGAGTAAGTCACTCGGACGGTGTTCCGTCCGGACCGGGGCTCCTCCGTGGCTTCACTCTGCGCAGGCTCGGGGCGGCAGGGGGGGGGGGGAGAAAAAAAAGGGGCCCGTAATTGAAGCGGGGAAACTTGGTTTTCCATACTGTATTGGAGAGGTGGCTTGCAAGCGCCTCGCTTTTCTGTAATCATGTGGTGATCTGTCCCTCGGTATTGCGGACAGCTTTAGTCGACGCGTCTGGTCTCTTGGAAACAAGCAATTCGGGAGAGGGAATGGCTGAGTTCTTCCGCGAGGGAGTCATGGCCACTCGCAGTAATGTTTCAGAAGGGGGCCTAAAGGTGGCCCCGGTGTGTGTGTGTGTGTGTGTGTGTGTGCGGGTATATCTCGCCTGTCTCTGAGCACATGCGGAAAGCAGATGTACGGGAACGGGAGGTGGGGGTGTGGACAAATGATGGGAATTGTCTTGCAACTTGATGCGTGCTAACTTGCGCAGCGGACTGGTCTAGGGTGAACCTCCCAGTCTCCTGAAAGGAACGATATTCAATCCGTGCGTCTTTTCTTGTCTGCGTG